CATTATTTCTAACCTTGTCAATGACGACATTTCCTATTCATGTTCCTATATTTCCTGTTCAAACTCATTTCATGTATGTTTTCATGGAAATCAAGGACATTTCTAAGTGACCCCAAACTTTTGAACGGTAGTGTACGTTTTCTCAACAACAGGTTATGGTCAATAATATGAAAAGCTGCACTGACATTAACAGTACAGCTCCCACAATCATCTTATTATCAATTTCTTTCAACCAATCATCAGTCATTTGTGTCAGTGCAGTACATGTTGAGTGCCCTTTCTCTATAAGTATGCTGAAAGTCTGTTGTCAATTTGTTTACAGAACAATAGCGTTGTATTTGGTCAGATACAATTTTTAATAGCTGGCAGCGAGTTGATAGGTCTTCTGTTAGAACCAGTAAAAGCCACTTTACCACTCTTGGGTAGTGGAATGACTTTGGCTTCCCTCCAGGCCTGAGGACAAAGACTTTCCTCTAGGCTCAGATTAAAGATATGACAGATAGGAGTGGACTCAGTCGCTTTCCATGTAAGTAGTCAATGCCAGGAGGTTTGTCATTATTGATCGATAACAATCATTTTCCCACCTCTCCCACACTAACTTTACAGAATTCAAACTTTCATTATTTGTTTTTTAATGCATGAATACGATGGCTCGCTGTTCGTTGGTGGCATTTCCTGCCTAATTTACCCACTTTGCCAATGAATTAATCATTAAAATAATTGCCAACATCAAATTGTTGATTTGATGAATGATGGAGTTGAATTTGTCATTATGTCATTGATCTTGGCTTCATAATAATAATAATAAAATAATAATAATAATATGCCATTTAGCAGACGCTTTTATCCAAAGCGACTTACAGTCATGTGTGCATAATACAGTTTCTTCTTCTTTTTGTTGAGTTTAGTCACATAATTTTTCAATTTGCAGTAAGTCAGCCAGTCAGATGTGCAGCCAGACTTATTATCCACTCCTTTTGCCCCGTCTCTTTCAACCAGACAGTTTTTCAATTCCTCATCAATCCATGGAGCCTTAATAGTTCTAAAAGTCAGTTTTCTTAACAGGTGCATGTTTATCAATAATTGGAAGAAGCAATTTCATAAATTCATCAAGTGCAGCGTCTGGATGCTCCTTATTAATCACATCAGACCAACAAATATTTTTTACATCATCCACATAAGAGTCACAGCAAAATCTTTTGTATGATCTCTTATACACAATTTTAGGCCCAGCTTTTGGAACTTTGGCTTTCCTGGAGTATAGCCACTATATTGTGATCACTACATCCAATGGGTACGGATACAGCTTTAGAACAAAGTTCTACAGTATTAGTAAAAATGTGATCAATACATGTGGATGATCTTGTTCCTGTAGTGTTTGTAAACACCCTGGTAGGTTGATTAATACCCTGAACAAGATTACAGACACTGGTTACAGTGAGAAGCTTCCTCTTGAGCGGACAGCTTGATGAAAACCAGACCAATATTCAACATGCCAAGACCTCTCTGTTTACATCACATACACTATCAAGCATTTCACACACATTATTTAGAGACTGACAGTTAGCACTTGGTAGGCCTATAGCAACACCCCAAAATAATAGTCTTTAGATGAGGCAGGTGAACCTGCAACCACAGAACTTCAATAACACTTTTACAGTTTAGTCATTTAGCAGACGCTCTTATCCAGGGCGAATTACAGTTAGTTAGTGAGCGCATGCGTTTTCATATTGGCCCCCCGTGGGAATCGAACCCACAACCCTGCCGTTGCAAACACCATGCTCTACTGACTGAGCTACACGGGACGCTTGACATGAGTTATTCTCTAAGCATTGCAGGGATATGGCTCTGAATATATATATACAGCAACACCTCCCCCATAAGCGTTCCTGTCTCTTCTGTAGATGTTATATCCTTGTATTGCTACTGCTGTATCATCAAAGGAATTATCCAAGTGAGTCTCAGAAATGGCTAATATATTAATGTTATCTGATGTTAGCAAGTTATTGATTTCATGGACCTTATTTCTAAGGCTACATATATTAATATGGGCTATTTTCAGCCCTTTCCTGGATAGCCAATCAGAGATAGACATAATACTGAAAATAACAACAACAACAAAAAAACATACATTCAGCAGTCCATTAATCAGTTGGTGTGTGTGTGTGTGTGTGTGCTGTGGGGTTGAAGCTACGAACCTATAGGCTTGGCTGTCTCATCCCTTCCAGGCTTCTGGGAGGGAGGGCGGACAATGAGCCTGTCATAGCGGATGTAAGCAATGTCCCCACGTGCTCTGGCAGCTTTCATGGCCGGGATAGGTTATTTTATCTTCTGGTGCAAGACTTCAGGATTGTCCTCGTTGAAGAAGATGTATGTTCCTCTCAAGTTCTTGGCTCTTTCCAGAACGGCTACCTTGTCCTTGAACCTCAGGAACTTGACCACTATCGGCCTGGGCCTGTCACCTGGGCCTGTCACCTGGGCCTGTCACCTGGGCCTGTCGCTTGTCACCTGGGCCTGTCACCTGGGCCTGTCACCTGGGCCGGTGGTGGGGTTCTCTATTTCCATGACTCAAGCCTGCCAGATACTCATGTTAGATGAAAGCTAATGTTATTTGCCTGATTGAGAGAAGTTTCCAATGATGTGACCATCGGAATAATGAGACTGTTTGATCAATTACAAAATGACTGTTTTCAATAGAGCATCTGTGTCTTTTTTTGTCTCTATTATTCAATTCTATATCTAAGGTTTTAATGTTGTTTGTCTCATTGAGCGAGAACGTTACCAATGATGAGACTGAGCAGACTGATGAATCCATATTGTTTAGATAGAAACGTCACTGTTGTTTAGATAGAAACTTCACTGTTGTTTAAAGACAAACTTCCCGATTGGACACAAGCCAATTATTTATTAAACTTGTTTATTGCTCTGTTAAACGTGTGACATACAGTATAACCCCCTTTAAGTTGGACTATAACCAGGGCCTAGCCTACAGTGGGGAAAAAAAGTATTTAGTCAGCCACCAATTGTGCAAGTTCTCCCACATAAAAAGATGAGAGAGGCCTGTAATTTTCATCATAGGTACACGTCAAATATGACAGACAAATTGAGGAAAAAAAATCCTGAAAATCACATTGTAGGATTTTTAATGAATTTATTTGCAAATTAGGGTGGAAAATAAGTATTTGGTCACCTACAAACAAGCAAGATTTCTGGCTCTCACAGACCTGTGACTTCTTCTTTAAGAGGCTCCTCTGTCCTCCACTCGTTACCTGTATTAATGGCACCTGTTTGAACTTGTTATCAGTATAAAAGACACCTGTCCACAACCTCAAACAGTCACACTCCAAACTCCACTATGGCCAAGACCAAAGAGCTGTCAAAGGACACCAGAAACAAAATTGTAGACCTGCACCAGGCTGGGAAGACTGAATCTGCAATAGGTAAGCAGCTTGGTTTGAAGAAATCAACTGTGGGAGCAATTATTAGGAAATGGAAGACATACAAGACCACTGATAATCTCCCTCGATCTGGGGCTCCACGCAAGATCTCACCCTGTGGGGTCAAAATGATAACAAGAACGGTGAGCAAAAATCCCAGAACCACACGGGGGGACCTAGTGAATGACCTGCAGAGAGCTGGGACCAAAGTAACAAAGCCTACCATCAGTAACACACTACGCCGCCAGGGACTCAAATCCTGCAGTGCAAGACGTGTCCCCCTGCTTAAGCCAGTACATGTCCAGGCCCATCTGAAGTTTGCTAGAGTGCATTTGGATGATCCAGAAGAGTATTGGGAGAATGTCATATGGTCAGATGAAACCAAAATAGAACTTTTTGGTAAAAACTCAACTCGTCGTGTTTGGAGGACAAAGAATGCTGAGTTGCATCCAAAGAACACCATACCTACTGTGAAGCATGGGGGTGGAAACATCAAGCTTTGGGGCTGTTTTTCTGCAAAGGGACCAGGACGACTGATCCGTGTAAAGGAAAGAATGAATGGGGCCATGTATCGTGAGATTTTGAGTGAAAACCTCCTTCCATCAGCAAGGGCATTGAAGATGAAACGTGGCTGGGTCTTTCAGCATGACAATGATCCCAAACACACCGCCCGGGCAACGAAGGAGTGGCTTCGTAAGAAGCATTTCAAGGTCCTGGAGTGGCCTAGCCAGTCTCCAGATCTCAACCCCATAGACAATCTTTGGAGGGAGTTGAAAGTCTGTGTTGCCCAGCGACAGCCCCAAAACATCACTGCTCTAGAGGAGATCTGCATGGAGGAATGGGCCAAAATACCAGCAACAGTGTGTGAAAACCTTGTGAAGACTTACAGAAAACGTTTGACCTGTGTCATTGCCAACAAAGGGTATATAACAAAGTATTGAGAAACTTTTGTTATTGACCAAATACTTATTTTCCACCATAATTCGCAAATAAATTCATAAAAAATCCTACAATGTGATTTTCTGGATTTTTTTTTCTCATTTTGTCTGTCATAGTTGACATGTACCTATGATGAAAATTACAGGCCTCTCTCATGTTTTTAAGTGGGAGAACTTGCACAATTGGTGGCTGACTAAATACTTTTTTTCCCCACTGTATATCCAACATCTTCTGACCATGTGACCTGACCAGAACCTTGACATCTGAGTCTCTGTCATAACTGGGTTTCTTCTGACCACGTGACCTGACCAGACCTGAACCTTGAAGACTGCTGGCCCCGGTTATTAGAGTCAGGAAACACTCCTGGCCCCAGTTATTAGAGTCAGGAAAGACTCCTGGTCCTACTCATATCAGGGTCATATTCATTAAGCACCAAATGGGGAAAAAAACTGTCTGAAACAGAGTGAAATGGGGAGGTACTATTGGAATTTGTCCAATAACAAACACTCATTCTTGTTTTTCGTTGCGTGGCCTAATGGATAGTTGGGACATGAACCAGATGTTTCCCATTTGTGATTTGGTATCTCCCTGGTTTGATTACATCACTCACTGTTTGTGTTCCTCTGACATCGACAGGAGCGTTTGATCCCAACATTCCAGAGGAGGGTCCGTCGGCGCCCCCTCCTGGCTGGCTAGACTGTGTGACGGGGTACGATGAGCCCAAAGGAGGAGGTGAGACACACACACACACACACACACACACAATCACACACACACACACACACACACACACACACACACACACTGAACTGTGTGACAGAGTACGAGAAGCCCAAAGGCGGGGGTGAGCGTCAGTCAGTTTGTCTCCCTAAATAATCAACACCTCCTTTATCAGCTCATTCAGCTGTCTGTGTTACTCACTTCAGCACACAACATTGAACGTGATCGAAGTCTGGGTCTGAAAAGGCACTACAATTTACCAGACGTCTATGTGGGCACTGGCCAAAAGTAGTGCACTGTGTTGGGAACAGGGTGCAATTTGGGACACAGACAAAGTGATTGAGTTGGCTGTAGATCACTTTAACTCTACCCACATGTACATATTACCTCAATTACCTCGACTAACCGGTGCCTCCGCACATTGACTCTGTACCGGTACCCCCTGTATATAGCCTCCCTACTGTTATTTTATTTTACTGCTGCTCTTTAATTATTTGTTATTTTTATTTTTTACTTATCTATTTTTTACTTAACGCTTTTTTTTCTTAAAACTGTATTGTTGGTTAAGGGCTTGTAAGTAAGCATTTCACTGTAAGGTCTACACCTGTTGTATTCGGCGCATGTGGCAAATAACATTTGATTTGATTTGAGATCCTAGTGTTTATTTACCCCGTCTGTTTTGAGGATTAAAGACCAAAATAACTTAATGAATGCCTTCATATGAATGACTGAAATGCATGTATTTCCCTCAGACACAGGAGACCAGAATGCCTTTATCAATGACTGAAATGCTTGTATTTCCCTCAGACACAGGAGACCAGAATGCCTTTATGAATGACTGAAATGCTTGTATTTCCCTCAGACACAGGAGACCAGAATGCCTTTATGAATGACTGAAATGCTTGTATTTCCCTCAGACACAGGAGACCAGCTGTACCCGCCGCCTCCTGCCTACAACCCTCAACCTGAGAATGACAGGAATGCATCCGTCCCTAACGTCAGGTGAGACTAGATACAGTACTGTACTATTTAATATATGAGTATTTTCTATGTTTATTGGATAAAGGGAATGCTGAAAGAGCAGTTGTCCGGATTTGAACCCATGCTGGGAGCGGTACATCATACGTGTGCTCCAGAGGCAGCAGCTTAAAACCGCTAGACCTCCCACAGTACTGTAGTACTACACCCCAGACTACAGTACCTGTAGTACTACACCCCAGACTACAGTACTGTACTACTACCCCCAGGACATCAGTACTGGTCTACTACACCCCCCAGACTACAGTACTGTAGTACTACACCCCAGACTACAGTACTGTACTACTACACCCCAGACTACAGTACTGTACGTACTACACCCCAGACTACAGTACTGTACTACTACACCCCAGACTACAGTACTGTAGTACTACACCCCAGACTACAGTACTGTAGTACTACACCCCAGACTACAGTACTGTAGTACTACACCCCAGACTACAGTACTGTACTACTACACCCAGATTACAGTACTGTAGTACTACACCCCAGACTACCCGTCCTTTCGTACTACACCCCAGACTACATACTGTAGCTACTACACCCAGCTCCAGTACTGTAGTAATACACCCCAGACTCCAGCACTGTACTACACCCCCGACTACGTACTGTAGTACTACACCCAACTACAGTACTGTTACTACACCCCCGACTACAGAAAATGTACTGTAAAACCCCCCAAATACAGTACTTTGTTCCCCCCCAATACATACTTTAATACACCCCAACTACATTTTTTTTCCCCCAGACTACAGTACGTAGTACTACACCCCAGACTACAGTTTTGCAGTATAACCCCCGATACAGTACTATTTTCTACACCCCCGACTACAGTATGTATAAACACCCCCCAACTACGTAGTAGAATAAAACCCCAGACTACTACTTAGTCTCACCCCGACTACAGTACTGTGTACTACCCCCAAATACGTACTGTAGTACTACACCCCCGACTACATACTGTATACTACACCCCCCGACTACAGTACTGTTTCTACTACAAAACCCCCGACTACGCACTGTCTACTAACCCCAACTACATACTTGTACTACCCCCCAGATACCACTGTTAGTACACCCCCGACTACCTATTAGTACTCCCCCCAACTACAACTTTTGGGGCCAAAACCCCAGACTAACACTGTACTATAAAAACCCCAGACTAAGCACGTAGTTACACACCCCAGACACAGCACTTATACCCCAAAACCCCCAAATACGTAGTTAGTACTACACCCCAAATCGTACGACTAAAACACCCCCAAATACAGTATGTACTACTACTACACAAAATACACCCCAGACTACAGTACTGTAGTTTCCCCAACAAAAACACCCCCGACACTACGAGTTACACCCCAACTACTACTGTTTAAAAAAATCAAAAACACCCCAAACTTTTTAACATACTGAGTACACACCCAGAACGTTTTCTTTGACTACAAAAACCCCCCCTACAGTACTGTCACTAAACCCCGATACAACTTATAACACCCCGACAACAAAAAAAAAACCCCTACTGTAGTACTACACCCAGACACATACTGTATCTACAAACCCCCCGACTAAGACGTATCTACACCCCAGACTACAGACTGATACTACACCCCATACAGTACTTATACTACAAAACCCCGACACGTATGTAGTCTCACCCCCCCGACTAGTTGTACTTAAAACCCCCGACTACATACTGTAGTACAAAACCCCCAGACTACAGTATGTAGTAAAAAAAACCCCAGACTACGGTAGTTTTTTTTTAGACTACAAAACCCCGCACATACGTCTACTACAACCCCCAAACATACTTATACTAACCCCAGATACAGTACTTGTACTAAAACCCCCCAACTACAGTACTGTATACTACAAACCCCCAATACAGTCTGTGGGACTACAAACCCCAACCAGATGGGTACACACCCCAGACTACAACTGTAACTAAACCCCCCAATACAGTACTGTACAAAATACAACCCCCGAATACAGTATGTATACTACCCCCCAGACCCGACTGTTTACTACACCCCAACTACAGTATGATACTACACCCCGACCACACTTTTATACAAAACCCCCGACTACAGACTGTAACTAACCCCAACTACAGTCTGGGATACAACCCCAGACACATACTGTATATACCCCCAGACTACGTACTGTAGTACTACAAAAACCCCGACTACAGTACTGTATAAAATACACCCCAATACGTACGTATACTACCCCCAGACACAAAACTGTACTAAAAATAACCCCAACTACATACTGTAGTCTACAAACCCCCAATACAGTACTGTTTTCCCCAGACTACGTACGTAGTATACCCCCAGACTACAGTACTGTATTACTACACCCCCCGACTACAGCTGTAGACTACCCCAAAAACCCCGACTACAGTAATGTAGTATAACCCCAGACTACAGTACGGGGTACTAAACCCCAACTACATACTGTATACTAACCCCCCAAAAATACAAACCCCAACTACGTACTGTAAAAAAACCCGGGTCCCAACTACACCCAGAACAGTACTGTATACTACACCCCCGACTCGTACTGTAGTCACACCCCAGACTACGTCGGTTTCTAACCCCAGAACAGTACTGGTACTAAAAAAACCCCAGACTACAGTACTGTAGTACTACACCCCAGACACAGACTGTATACACACCCCAACTACAGATGTGTACTAAAAAACCCCGACTACGACTGTAAGTTACAAGACCCCCCGACAATAATTTGGGGACTACACCCCAGACTACATACTGTAGATACAAAACAAACAACCCCAGACTACGTACTGTATTTAAAAACAAAACCCGAAAGTATGTAGTACTACACCCCGACTACAGTACTGATACACAAAACCCCGATTTCAGTAATGTGTAAAAAAAATAAACCCCAGACTACAGTATTTACTCAAAAAAACCAACCCCAACTCAGTACTGTACTACTACAAACCCCAATTTTTACTTATACTACCCACCCCCCCAAAACAAATGTATACACAAACCCAACTACAGCGGGAATACACACCCCAGACTACGTACCCGAGTACTAAAAAAAAAACCCCCGATCAGACTGTCTACTACACCCCCCGACACATACTGTTACTACACCCCAGACACAGTACTGTTCCCACAAAACCCCCCAAATACAGACTGTATAAATACACCCAATAAGACTGGTTTCTAAAACCCCCCGACTACGTACTGTGACACAACCCCGACTACAGACTGTTAATACACCCCAACTACAGTACTGTAGTACTTAAAACCCCCCAAATCAGACTGTTTCCCCCAGACTACGTACTGTATATACACCCCAGATACAGACTGTATACTACAAACCCAAACAACTTAATAAAAAAACCCCCCGACTACAGCCTGTATATACAAAACCCCCGACTACGTACTGTACAAAACACCCCCCAAATACAATGTATACTACAACCCCCGACTAAGACGTAAACAACCCCAGACTACGTACTGATACACCCCCAGACTACAGTACTGTATCTACAAATGACTTAAAACACACCCCCGACTAAAAACAGTATACTACACCCCCGACTACAGTACTGTATATTACACCCCAACTACAGTACTGTAATACCCAAAAAAACAAAAACCCCAAATACATTTCTTAGTACTAACCCCCAAAAACAGTACTGTATACTACAACCCCCGATACAGTACGTATACTACACCCCCAACTACATACTGTATATACCCCCAACTAAGTACTGAGATACACCCAGACAAGACTGTAACTACCAAACCCCCCATACAGTTTGACTAACCCCCCAAAAACTTAACAACCCCCAACTACAGACTGAATCTACACCCCCAACTAAGTATTATTACAAAAACCCCAGCTAATACTGATACTACACCCCAAAAAACAGTACTGTAACTAAACCCCAAACAGTACTTATACTACACCAACTACAGTACTGTAGTACTCCACCCCCCAAACCCGTACTGTGTACTACCCCCAGACTACAATGTAGTAATACCCCCAACTACAGTACTGTACACAAAACCCCCTATAAAGTACTGTATACAACCCCAAACTCGTCTTATTTAAACACCCCAATACATACTGTATACAACCCCAACTACAGTACTTTATACAACCCCCCCAAAAAGTCTGTAGTACTACACCCCCAAATACAGTACGGTTACTACACCCCAGACTACAGATGTATAAATACACCCCAGACTACAGTATTACTATCAAAAACCCCATACTAAAGTATTTAAAAACTACAAGACAACAACCCAATACAGTACTTTAGTACACCAAACCCCAAATACAGACGTATATACACCCCAACCAGTACTGTACTACTACACCCCAGGCTACAGTACTGTAGTTCACACCCCAACTACATACTGTAGTACTAAAACCCCAATACATACGTATACTACACCCCCCGCTACGTCTTTAACACCCCCAACTAAGTTCTGTACTACACCCCAAAAACTTTCACACCCCCAAAACAGTACTGTTTAAATAAAAAAAAACCCCAACACAGTATACTTAATACAAAAACCCCATATCCTTGTTACTACACCCCAAAACAGTCTGTTACTAAAACCCCAGACACGTCTGTATACACAACCCGACTACAGTACTGTATATACACCCCAGACTCGTACTGTATATAAAACCCCAGACTACGTACCTTTTATACCCCCCCTAAGACGTAACACCCCCAAACCCCAATAAGATACCCCCAACACAGACTTAGGGTTAAATACACCCCAACTCAGTATGAGTTCCCCCAGACTGTATGTATATAAACCCAAAACCCCAGACTACTCTGTAAACAACCCCAATACAATTAATACACCCCAAAATATGAAAACTAAAAACCCCCCAGACTAAGATGAAAAAATTTTTAAAAAACTACTAGTTTCTACAAAAACCCCAATACAGTATTATCCACCCCAGACCGAGGAGTACCCTCAAAATAATAAAAATTTTAACCAACTAATTTTCAAAAAACGAAATTTTTCCTCCATAATACCCCCTCCCGAACGTTTAATATTTCAACCCCAGACTTAATTTTCCCAATTAGCACCCGGGGGGGCCTTTATGGAGGGAAAACCCCCAACTAAGAGATTAAACCCCCCCATATTTCTCCCCAGGAAACTAAAACCTTTCCGGGCCCAAAATGAGAAACTTTTTAAAAAAAGGGCCCAAACCACCCATAAGTTTTATTAAAAATTTTTTTCCAATTTAAGGGGACCAAAAACCAAAAATTAATGGGCAAAACACCCCCTTTTATGCCCCCCAAATTGGGGGGGCACACTCAAATGTTTAATTTTTAAGGTCCCCTTCCTTGGGGCTCTATTTTTCCCGCCTTAAAGGCCCCCAAATTTAAAAGCCAATTTGGGGGTTCCCCCCTGGAAAAAATCCCCACTTTTTTTTTTTTTTTTTGGGGGGGGGGGGGGGGCCCCCGGGGGGGGGGGGAAAAAGGGGGAAAAAAACAAAAACCCCCCCCCCAATTTGGGGGGAACCCCCCCGGGGTCGGGGCCCTCCCCCCCCCCCCACCCCACCCCCCCCTTTTTTTAGGGGAAATTTGCGGTCAATTAGCCATTTCTTTGTGGATGCTCAGGTGTGATGGAGTTTTTGGCACACTGCATGACATTTGTATTTGTATTTATTAAGGATCCCCATTAGTTCCTGCCAAGGCAGCAGCTACTCTTCCTGGGGTCCAGCAACATTAAGGCAGTTATATACAATTTAATATACACTGCTCAAAAATATAAAGGGAACACTAAAATAACACATCCTAGATCTGAATGAATGAAATAATCTTATTAAATACTTTTTTCTTTACATAGTTGAATGTGCTGACAACAAAATCACACAAAAATTATCAATGGAAATCAAATGTATCATCCCATGGAGGTCTGGATTTGGAGTCACCCTCAAAATTAAGGGTGGGAAACCACACTACAGGCTGATCCAACTTTGATGTAATGTCCTTAAAACAAGTCAAAATGAGGCTCAGTAGTGTGTGTGGCCTCCACGTGCCTGTATGACCTCCCTACAATGCCTGGGCATGCTCCTAATGAGGTGGCGGATGGTCTCCTGAGGGATCTCCTCCCAGACCTGGACTAAAGCATCCGCCAACTCCTGGACAGTCTGTGGTGCAACGTGGCGTTGGTGGATGGAGCGAGACATGATGTCCCAGATGTGCTCAATGGGATTCAGGTCTGGGGAACGGGCGGGCCAGTCCATAGCATCAATGCCTTCCTCTTGCAGGAACTGCTGACACACTCCAGCCACATGAGTTCTAGCATTGTCTTGCATTAGGAGGAACCCAGGGCCAACCGCACCAGCATATGGTCTCACAAGGGGTCTGAGGATCTCATCTCGGTACCTAATGGCAGTCAGGCTACCTCTGGCGAGCACATGGAGGGCTGTGCGGCCCCCCAAAGAAATGCCACCCCACACCATGACTGACCCACCGCCAAACCGGTCATGCTGGAGGATGTTGCAGGCAGCAGAACGTTCTCCACGGCGTCTCCAGACTCTGTCATGTCTGTCACGTGCTCAGTGTGAACCTGCTTTCATCTGTGAAGAGCACAGGGCGCCAGTGGCGAATTTGCCAATCTTGGTGTTCTCTGGCAAATGCCAAACGTCCTGCACGGTGTTGGGCTGTAAGCACAACCCCCACCTGTGGACGTCGGGCCCTCATACCACCCTCATGGAGTCTGTTTCTGACCGTTTGAGTAGACACATGCACATTTGTGGCCTGCTGGAGGTCATTTTGCAGGGCTCTGGCAGTGCTCCTCCTGCTCCTCCTTGCACAAAGGCGGAGGTAGCAGTCCTGCTGCTGGGTTGTTGCCCTCCTACGGCCTCCTCCACGTCTCCTGATGTACTGGCCTGTCTCCTGGTAGCGCCTCCATGCTCTGGACACTACGCTGACAGACACAGCAAACCTTCTTGCCACAGCTCGCATTGATGTGCCATCCTGGATGAGCTGCACTACCTGAGCCACTTGTGTGGGTTGTAGACTCCGTCTCATGCTACCACTAGAGTGAAAGCACCGCCAGCATTCAAAAGTGACCAAAACATCAGCCAGGAAGCATAGGAACTGAGAAGTGGTCTGTGGTCACCACCTGCAAAACCAGTCCTTTATTGGGGGTGTCTTGCTAATTGCCTATAATTTCCACCTGTTGTCTATTCCATTTGCACAACAGCATGTGAAATGTATTGTCAATTAGTGTTGCTTCCTAAGTGGACAGTTTGATTTCACAGAAGTGTGATTGACTTGGAGTTACATTGCGTTGTTTAAGTGTTCCCTTTATTTTTTTGAGCAGTGTATTACATGACATTACATTTCATAACACTTTTCACAACATATTATGTGTGTTCCCTCAGGCCACTACTCTACTATCACATATCTACAATACAACATCCATGTGTATGTGTGTGTAGAGGGAGTGTCTTATCGTGTGTGTGTGTGTAAGTATGTGTCTGTGCCTGTGTGAGTGTCTCGTCACAGTCCCCGCTGTTCCATAAGGTGTATTTTTATCTGTTTTTTAAAATCTGATCTTACTACTTGCATCAGTTACCTGATGTGGAATAGAGTTAATGTGGAATAGTCATGGCTCTATGTAGTACTGTGCACCTCCCATAGCAGCGTGTGAAGCCATAACACATACGTTATTCCAGCAGCAGACTATGATCGATAATGTCAAAAGCCACACTGAAGTCTAACAAAACAGCCCCCACAATATTTTTATTGTCTCAATCTGATCTGATTATTCTGACCAATGACCAGTCATGTTTTATTTGCATATGTATCCTCCTACTTTGAAGAGGTAAGCAGGGTAGGCTCAAGAGTCTAAACGATCCTATCTGCCAATCAGGGCTGTGTATGTAAATATAGAAACATTTATATCAACACGCCCTCACGATCAGACGATCATGTCATTGGCAAAAGGAGGTTCAGGGAAATAAATGATAAAACATGTATTCAGAGTTATTTTCATGAAATAAACACACACAGTGATTTATTAGACGTACAGTGATGATAAAAAAAAATAAAATACATAAAAAAAAACTGCTGAGATACATAAAAAAAAAGTAGAATTCCAATTTAATTGTGTTTGATTTTATTTATTATTAGGGGTGCCAATAATTTTGACCCATATCTTTTTGAGATTTTTTTATTTTTTACTTGTTAATAAAAAATCTATTTATTTGAGCGCTTGTACTAGTATAATATATACTTTTTTCATTTGTTTGAGCATACAATATATCTCAGTATTTCTATTATTTATTTTATACACTATTTTTTGCTCATCTCTATCAAGGGCGTCAATACTTTTGGATCTGACTGTTATGTACAGTGGGGAGAACAAGTATTTGATACACTGCCGATTTTGCAGGTTTTCCTACTTACAAAGCACGTAGAGGTCTGTAATTTTTTATCATAGGTACACTTCAACTGTGAGAGACAGAATCTAAAACAAAAATCCAGAAAATCACATTGTATGTAATTAATTTGCATTTTATTGCAATTCTATCAAGGGCGCCAATACTTTTGGATCTGACTGTATTCTACAGGGTGCCTCAAGTGTCAGAGGATGTAGCCAGAGAAGCTCTCCTGAAGTTTGTGGGCTCCAAGTGGTCCAAAAGCAGCAAGCCTGCCAGAAACCTGACCTTCAAGGAGTTACAACCCATCACAATGTATCGGGTAGGTCTGCTAACTAGCGCTTCATGCTAGACCCGATGTTGGTAGTATTTACATTTTACATTTTAGTCATTTAATTTTCATTTAATTTTTTATGTCTTATGAAACCTCTTGTTGGTAGTATCTCTTATGAAACCTCTTGTTGGTAGTATCTCTTATGAAACCTCTTGTTGGTAGTATGTCTTATGAAACTCTTATGAAACCTCTTGTTGGTAGTATCTCTTATGAAACCTCTTGTTGGTAGTATCTCTTATGAAACCTCTTGTTGGTAGTATCTCTTATGAATCTCTTATGAAACCTCTTGTTGGTAGTATCTCTTATGAAACCTCTTGTTGGTAGTATCTCTTATGAATCTCTTATGAAACCTCTTGTTGGTAGTATCTCTTATGAAACCTCTTGTTGGTAGTATCTCTTATGAATCTCTTATGAAACCTCTTGTTGGTAGTATCTCTTATGAAACCTTGGTATTCTTATGAACCTCTTGTTGGTAGTATCTCTTATGAATCTCTTATGAAACCTCTTGTTGGTAGTATCTCTTATGAAACCTCTTGTTGGTAGTATCTCTTATGAAACCTCTTGTTGGTAGTATCTCTTATGAAACCTCTTGTTGGTAGTATCGTTTGGAGACGTACACTGAGTCCAGATCCAGTGCCTGGGAGATGGAGCCATATACTGGTAAAGTAATACTGTCTCAGGACAGCTTTTTGTCTGTTTCAAATAACTAGACAAGGTGTTCGTCAGAAACGGACATATTGCTGTCAGTTACAAAATACACACATTTCTGAGTGGCGTTCCAGGTTGTCCCCATACAGTGCGTGTAGGGCGTATAATGTAAGGTACGACAACGCATGACAACACAGTTGGCTTAACTACAGCACACACGGATCTGCAACCAGGCGAGGTATCCACAGCACTCTGTGCTAAATGAGTATTTCTTCCTCTTCCTCCCATCTCCCAGGCCAGGTGGTCGACGGACCTCAGTACGGGATGAGCCCCCCTCCGTGGGACGTCCCGGTGCAACAGCCACAGAGATACACTGATGTGATCCTGAAAGTGCGTGTCCCTCACTCCTCCTTTGTAAAGGTATGTCTACTTTATTACCTCCGGAAAGGAGTCTGGAGACAGACCGCAAGGCGCTACAGAGGGTAGTGCGTACGGCCCAGTATATCACTGGGGCCAAGCTTCCTGCCATCCAGGACCTCTATACCAGGCGGTGTCAGAGGAAGGCCCTCAAAATGGTCGAAGACTCCAGCCACCCTAGTCATAGATTGTTCTCTCTGCTACCGCACGGCAAACGGTACCGGAGCGCCAAGTCTAGGTCCAAAAGGCTTCTCAACAGCTTCTACCCCCAAGCCATAAGACTCCTGAAAAGCTAATCATGGCTACCCAGACTATTTGCACTCCCACCCCATCTTTTTACGCTGCTGCTACTCTGTTAATTATTACATTTTAGTCATTTAGCAGACGCTCTTATCCAGAGAGACTTACAGTTAGTGAGTGCATACATTATTTTATTTTTCATACTGCCCCCCCGTGGGAATCGAACCCACAACCCTGGCGTTGCAAACGCCATGCTCTACCAACTGAGCTACATCCCTGCCGGCCATTCCCTCCCCTACACTGGGCCAATTGTGCACCGCCCCATGGGTCTCCCGGTCGGCTACAACAGAGCCTGGATTCAAACCAGGATCTCTAGTGGCACAGCTAGCACCGCGATGCAGTGCCTTAGACCACTGCGCCACTCGGTAGGCAATTATTTATGCATAGTCACTTTAACTCTACCCACATGTACATATTACCTCAACTACCTCAACTAGCCGGTGCCCCCGCACATTGACTCTGTACCGGTACCCCCCTGTATATATAGCCTCCCTACTGCTATTTTATTTTACTTCTGCTCTTTTTTTCTCAACACTTTTTTGTTGTTGTTGTTTTATTTTACTTTTTTATTAAGAAATAAATGCATTGTTGGTTAAGGGCTGTAAGTAAGCATTTCACGGTAATGTCTACACCTGTTGTATTCGGCGCATGTGGCAAATAAAATTTGATTTGATTCTACACATAAAATCAACTTTTTTGCAATTACATCAACTCTACTTTTTTTTGTAATTTATAAATTTTTCCAAGTCCAAAATGATATTGTAAAGGTTGTGTGTGACACGTGTGTGTGTGTGTTACACATTTGTTAGTCATTTTATGTTGTGTGTTACACTCCTCACTACTGCTGTGGTTGTTTCAGACGTGTCTCCTCACTACTGCTGTGGTTGTTTCAGACGTGTCTCCTCACTACTGCTGTGGTTGTTTCAGACGTGTCTCCTCACTACTGCTGTGGTTGTTTCAGACGTGTCACCGATGCCATGGCTGTGGTAGGACGCGCTGCACACACTGTGCTGGGAGGGGAAATGTAAGTAGCAACTCCTCCCTCCTTATTTACATTCCCTCTCTCTCTCTCTCACTTCTCTTTAGACATTTTAGTCAAGGAGGTCCAGGAGTTTTGCCTGAGCAAAGCGACCTGACCAGCAAGTTATAGGGGTGGTTTTTCCGTACATAAATTAAGGCCTATCCCGACTAAAAAGCCTTCTGAATGCAGATTCTCTCTATGTCCGAGAATCGTCCCATAGGTTATAACTACCCAGGGTGCTGAGTTGTTTCTGGTCTGGACATGTTGTCAGGGAAACCTCTTGGCCCTGTTTCAGAGGTATTAATAGACTATCCCCTGTTTCAGAGCTATTAATAGACTATCCCCTGTTTCAGAGGTATTAATAGACTATCCCCTGTTTCAGAGGTATTAATAGACTATCCCCTGTTTCAGAGGTATTAATAGACTATCCCCTGTTTCAGAGGTATTAATAGACTATCCCCTGTTTCAGAGGTATTAATAGACTATCCCCTGTTTCAGAGCTATTAATAGACTATCCCCTGTTTCAGAGGTATTAATAGACTATCCCCTGTTTCAGAGGTATTAATAGACTATCCCCTGTTTCAGAGGTATTAATAGACTATCCCCTGTTTCAGAGCTATTAATAGACTATCCCCTGTTTCAGAGGTATTAATAGACTATCCCCTGTTTCAGAGGTATTAATAGACTATCCCCTGTTTCAGAGCTATTAATAGACTATCCCCTGTTTCAGAGGTATTAATAGACTATCCCCTGTTTCAGAGGTATTAATAGACTATCCCCTGTTTCAGAGGTATTAATAGACGATCCCCTGTTTCAGAGGTAATAATAGACTATCCCCTGTTTCAGAGGTATTAATAGACTATCCCCTGTTTCAGAGGTATTAATAGACTATCCCCTGTTTCAGAGGTATTAATAGACTATCCCCTGTTTCAGAGGTATTAATAGACTATCCCCTGTTTCAGAGGTATTAATAGACTATCCCCTGTTTCAGAGGTATTAATAGACTATCCCCTGTTTCAGAGGTAATAATAGACTATCCCCTGTTTCAGAGGTAATAATAGACTATCCCCTGTTTCAGAGGTAATAATAGACTATCCCCTGTTTCAGAGGTATTAATAGACTATCCCCTGTTTCAGAGGTATTAATAGACTATCCCCTGTTTCAGAGGTAATAATAGACTATCCCCTGTTTCAGAGGTAATAATAGACTATCCCCTGTTTCAGAGGCGATGTCCGTTCTGCCATGGACATGGACGCAGGACAACAGGACATGGACGTAACAACAGGGCCGGCAACAACAGATGTTCCAGCTGTCAGGGGAGAGGAAGGAAGAGGTAAACATTGACAGTATATTTTACATTGAGCAGACGCTCTTATCCAGAGCAACTTCCAGTTAGTGCGTTCATCTTAAGATAGCTAGGTGCAACAACCACATACCACAGATCACATTCATAGTAAATACATTTTCCTTCAATACAGTAGCAATAAGTAATCCGTGCTAGTTCCACCATTGCAAATCAAATCAAATTGTATTTGTCACATGCGCCAAATTCAACAGGTGTAGACCTTACAGTGAAATGCTTACTTCCAAGCCCTTAACCAACAATACAGTTTTAAGATAGAATAAACATTTTAAAAATCACACAAACAAATACAGGGGGGTACCGGTACCGAGTCAATGTGCGAGGGCACCGGTTAGTCGAGGTAATTCAGGTAATATGTACATGTAGGTAGAGTTATTAAAGTGACTGTGCATAGACAATAAACAGAGTAGCAGCAGCGTAAAAGAGGGGGGGTGGGGTGGGGGGGGGCAATGCAAATAATCCGGGTAGCCATTTGATTAGATGTTCAGGAGTTTTTTTTATTTATTTTTATTTCACCTTTATTTAACCAGGTAAGCCAGTTGAGAACAGGTTCTCATTTACAACTGCGACCTGGCCAAGATAAAGCAAAGCAGTGCAATAAAAACAACACAGAGTTACATATGGGGTAAACAAAACATAAAGTCAAAAATACAGCAGAAAATATATATACAGTGTGTGCAAATGTAGCAAGTTATGGAGGTAAGGCAATAAATAGGCTATAGTGCAAAATAATTACAATAGTATTAACACTGGAATGCTAGATGTGCAAGAGATTATGTGCAAATAGAGATACTGGGGTGCAAAAGAGCAAAATAAATAACAATATAGGGATGAGGTAGTTGGGTGGGCTAATTTCAGATGGGCTGTGTACAGGTGCAGTGATCGGTAAGGTGCTCTGACAACTGATGCTTAAAGTTATTGAGGGAGATAAGAGTCTCCAGCTTCAGAGATTTTTGCAATTAGTTCCAGTCATTGGCAGCAGAGAACTGGAAGGAATGGCGGCCAAAGGAGGTGTTGGCTTTGGGAATGACCAGTGAGATATACCTGCTGGAGTGCAGACTACGGGTGGGTGCTGCTATGGTGACCAATGAGCTAAGATAAGGCGGGGATTTGCCTAGCAGTGATTTATAGATGGCCTGGAGCCAGTGGGTTTGACGACGAACATGTAGTGAGGACCAGCCAACAAGAGCGTACAGGTCACAGTGGTGGGTAGTGTATGGGGCTTTGGAGACAAAACGGATGGCACTGTGATAGACTACATCCAATTTGCTGAGTAGAGTGTTGGAGGCTATTTTGTAAATGACATCGCCGAAGTCAAGGATCGGTAGGATAGTCAGTTTTACGAGGGCATGTTTGGCAGCATGAGTGAAGGAGGCTTTGTTGCGAAATAGGAAGCCAATTCTAGATTTAACTTTGGATTGGAGATTCTTTATGTGAGTCTGGAAGTTGAGTTTACAGTCTAACCAGACACCTAGGTATTTGTAGTTGTCCACATACTCTAGGTCAGACCCGTCGAGAGTGGTGATTCTAGTCGGGTGGGCGGGTGCCAGCAGCGTTCGATTGAAAAGCATGCATTTAGTTTTACTAGTGTTTAAGAGCAGTTGGAGGCTACTGAAGGAGTGTTGTATGGCATTGAAGCTCGTTTGGAGGTTTGTTAACACAGTGTCCAATGAAGGGCCAGATGTATACAAAATGGTGTCGTCTGCGTAGAGGTGGATCTGAGAGTCACCAGCAGCAAGAGCGACATCATTGATATACACGGAGAAAAGTGTCGGCCCAAGAATTGAACCCTGTGGCACCCCCATAGAGACTGCCATAGGTCCAGACAACAGGCCCTCCGATTTGACACACTGAACTCTATCTGAGAAGTAGTTGGTGAACCAGGCGAGGCAGTCATTTGAGAAACCAAGGCTATTTAGTCTGCCAATAAGAATGCGGTGGTTGACAGAGTCGAAAGCCTTGGCCAGGTCGATGAAGACGGCTGCACAGTACTGTCTATTATCAATCACGGTTATAATATCGTTTAGGACCTTGAGCGTGGCTGAAGTGCACCCTTGACCAGCTCGGAAACCGGATTGCATAGCGGAGAAGGTACGGTGGTATTCGAAATGGTCGGTGATCTGTTTGTTAACTTGGCTTTCAAATACTTTCGAAAGGCAGGGCAGGATGGATATAGGTCTGTAGCAGTTTGGATCTAGAGTGTCACCCCCTTTGAAGAGGGGGATGACCGCGGCAGCTTTCCAATCTCTGGGGATCTCAGACGTTATGAAAGAGAGGTTGAACAGACTAGTAATAGGGGTTGCGACAATTTCGGCGGCTAGTTTTAGAAAGAAAGGGTCCAGATTGTCTAGCCCAGCTGATTTGTAGGGGTCCAGATTTTGCAGCGCTTTCAAAACATCAGCTGTCTGAATTTGTGTGAAGGAGAAGCGGGGGGGGGCATGGGCAAGTTGCAGCGGAGGGTGCAGAGTTGGTGGCCGGGGTAGTGGTAGCCAGATGGAAAGCATGGCCAGCTGTAGCAAAATGCTTGTTGAAATTCTCGATTATTGTAGATTTATCGGTGGTGATAGTGTTTCCTAGCCTCAGTGCAGTGGGCAACTGGGAGGAAGTGCTCTTATTCTCCATGGACTTTACAGTGTCCCAAAACTTTTTGAAGTTAGTGCTACAGGATGCAAATTTCTGTTTGAAAAAGTTAGCCTTTGCTTTCCTGACTGCTTGTGTATATTGGTTCCTAACTTCCCTGAAAAGTTGCATATCGCGGGGGCTATTTGATGTGTATTCGAGTGGCGCAGTGGTCTAAGGCACTGCATCGCAGTGCTAGCTGTGCCACTAGAGATCCTGGTTCGAATCCAGGCTCTGCTGTAGCCGGCCGCAACCGGGAGACCAATGGGGCGGCGCACAATTGGTCCAGCGTCGTCCAGGGTAGGGGAGGGAATGGCCGGCAGGGAGGTAGCTCAGTTGGTAGAGCATGGTGTTTGCAACGCCAGGGATGTGGGTTCGATTCCCATGGGGGGCCAGTATAAAAAAATAAAAAAATAAATTTAAAAAATTTAAAAATAAAATAAAACAATAAAAAAATATATATAAAAACAATAAAAATATATGTATGCACTAACTGTAAGTCGCTCTGGATAAGAGCGTCTGCTAAATGACGTAAATGTAATGCTAATGCTGTACGCCACAGGATGTTTTTGTGCTGGTCAAGGGCAGTCAAGTCTGAGGAGAACCAGGGGCTATATCGGTTCTTAGTTCTGTATTTTTTGAATGAGGCATGTTTATTTAAGATTGAGAGGAAATTACTTTTAAGGAACAACCAGGCATCCTCTACTGACGGAATGAGATCTATATCCATCCAGGATACCTGGGCCAGGTCAATTAGGAAGGCCTGCTCGCTAAAGTGTTTTAGGGAGCGTTTGACAGTGATGAGGGGTGGTCGTTTGACCGCGGACCCGTTACGGACGCAGGCAATAAGGCAGTGATCGCTGAGATCCTGGTTGAAGACAGCTGAGGTGTATTTAGAGGGTATGTTAGTCAGGATGATATCTATGAGGGTACCCATGTTTACGGATTTAGGGTTGTACCTGGTAGGTTCGTTGATAATTTGCGTGAGGTTGAGGGCATCTAGTTTGGATTGTAGGATGGCTGGGGTATAAAGCATATCCCAATTTAGGTCACCAAGCAGTACGAACTCTGAGGATAAATGGGGGGCAATCAATTCACATATGGTGTCCAGGGCACAGCTGGGGGCTGAGGGGGGTCTGTAGCAAGCGGCAACAGTGAGAGACTTATTTCTGGAAAGGTGGATTTTTAGAAGTAGAAGCTCAAACTGTTTGGGCACAGACCTGGATAGTATGATAGAGCTCTGCAGGCTATCTCTACAGTAGATTGCAACTCCACCCCCTTTGGCAGTTCTATCTAGACGGAAAATGTTATAGTTGGGGATGGAAATTTCAGAATTTTTGGTGGCCTTCCTGAGCCAGGATTCAGACACTGCTAGAACATCAGGGTTGGCGGAGTGTGCTAACGCAGTGAATAACTCAAACTTAGGTAGTAGACTTCTGATATTTATGTGCAAGAAACCAAGACTTTTGCGATTACAGAAGTCGGCAAATGATAGCGCCTGGGGAGTAGGAGTGATACTGAGGGCTGCAGGGCCTGGGTTAGGGGCCTGGGTTAGCCTCTACATCATCTGGGTTGGCGCCCCCCCTTGGTTTGTGCTGTGGTGGAGACCTCTGTGGGCTATACTCGGCCTTGTCTCAGGATTGTAAGTTGGTGGTTGAGGATATCCCTCTAGTGGTGCGGGGGCTGTGCTTTGGCAGAGTGGGTGGGGTTATATCCTTCCTGTTTGGCCCTGTCCGGGGGTTTCTTCGGATGGGGCCACAGTGTCTCCGGACCGCTCCTGTCTCAGCCTCCAGTATTTATGCTGCAGTAGTTTATGTGTCGGGGGGCTGGGGTTAGTTGGTTATACCTGGAGTACTTCTCCTGTCTTATCCAGTGTCCTGTGTGAATTTAAGTATGCTCTCTCTAATTCTCTCATTCTCTCTTTCTCTCTGAGAACCTGAGCCCTAGGACCATACGTCAGGACTACCGGGCATGCTGACACCTTGCTGTCCCCAGTCCGCCTGGCCTTGCTGCTATTCCAGTTTCAACTGTTCTGCCTGCGGTTACGAAACCCCTACCTGTCCCAGACCTGCTGTTTTCAACTCTTAATGATCGGCTATGAAAAGCAAACTGAGAGACCTGAGCCCTAGGACCATACGTCGGGACTACCGGCCGTGGTGACTCCTTGCTGTCCCCAGTCCGCCTGGCCTTGCTGCTATTCCAGTTTCAACTGTTCTGCCTGCGGTTATGGAACCCCTACCTGTCCCAGACCTGCTGTTTTCAACTCTTAATGATCGGCTATGAAAAGCCAACTGAGATTTATTCCTGATTATTATTTGACCATGCTTGTCACTTATTAACATTTTTGAACATCTTAGCATGGTTCTGTTATAATCTCCACCCGGCACAGCCAGAAGAGGACTGGCCACCCCTCATAGCCTGGTTCCTCTCTAGGTTTCTTCCTAGGTTTTGGCCTTTCTAGGGAGTTTTTCCTAGCCACCGTGCTTCTACACCTGCATTACTAGCTGTTTGGGGTTTTAGGCTGGGTTTCTGTACAGCACTTCGAGATATCAGCTGATGTACGAAGGGCTATATAAAATAAAATTGATTGATTGATCACCAGAGGAACAGAGGAGGACTAGAATAAGGATACGGCTAAAGGCTTTAAGAACTGGTCTTCTAGTGCGTTGGGTACATAGAATAAAGGGGGCAGATTTCCGGGTGTTATAGAAAAGATTCAGGGCATTATGTACAGACAAGGATATGGAAGGATATGAGTAAAGTGGAGGTAAACCTAAGCGTTGGGTAACAATGAAAGAGATAGCATCGCTGGAGGCATCAATTGAGTCGGTCTCCGCGTGTATGGGGGGTGGGACAAAGGAGCTATCTAAGGCAGGTTTAGCTGGGCTGGGGGGTCTACAGTGAAATAGTACAATTAGAAATAACCGAAACAACAATAAGCTAACCATGTTTGGGCTGAGGCTAAACATAAACAGGATGTAGTACCGTAAAAAGGAACAGTCCAGCAGACATCAGCTGTAGAGCTGAGTTATCATAAGGTCCGGTGAACAGCAATAGGATAGTTCGGAGGCTGCTAAAGCACTAGCGAGTAAGAGGCCACGGCTAGCGTGTGCTAGCGGGCCGGGGCTAGCAGATGGAATCTTCGTGGTTAACGTCGTAACCACATCAGACGATTTCGTCGGCAGACCAGTCGTGTAGGATCGGCGGGGCTCCGTGTCAACACTAGGTGGTCCCGTCCGGTTGACAGAGAGGTAGATAGCCGGGAGATGGGCCTAGCTCAGGATGATTAGCCAGACCACAGCGTCCATTTTGTTGCAGCTAGCTGGTAGCGATGAATCCGGAGTTAAAGGTCCAGTGATTCAGTGATTCCGGCGGAAAAACTGATATGTTCTGGGTCGATAACGCGCTGTGCAGACTGGCCGAATATCCAGTGATTAATGTCCAGTGATTAAATTAATCCCGCAGAAAAAAATCCAATGTTCTGGGTGAAATACCGCTAGCTGTGGCTAATAGCAAGTAGCTAGTTAGCTGGCTAGCTAGTTTCAACTGGAGATTCTAGATAAAGGTAAGTCAATAATAGAATCCGTTCCACATTGAGTGAGGCGGGTTGCAGGAAAGTATATTTTGTAGAAGGATGAAAAGTCTGATAGGGAAATATGTACGAAAAATACAAAAAAACAGGGTATTTACAGGCTATTTACAGACAACGACAAAAACAGAACTGCACTACTACGCCATCTTGGAACAGTCTTATGGCTTGGGAGTAGAATCTGTAAAGAAGCCTCTTGGACCTTGACTTGGCGCTCCGGTACCGCTTGCCATCTGGTAGCAGAGAGAACAGTCAATGACTAGGGTGGCTGGAGTCTGACAATTTTTAGGGCCTTCCTCTGACACCGCCTGGTATATAGGTCCTGGATGGCAGGAAGCTTGGCCCCAGTGATGTACTGGGCCATACGCACTACCCTCTGTAGTGCCTTGCAGTCGGAGGCCGAGCAGTTGCCATACCAGGCAGTGATGCAACCAGTCAGGATGCTCTCGATGATGCAGCTGTAGAACTTTTGAGGATCTGAGGACCCATTCCTTAGGGGGAATAAGTTTTGTCGTGCCCTCTTCACGACTGTCTTGGTGTGCTTGGACCATGTTAGTTTGTTGGTGATGTGGCCACCAAGGAACTTGAAGCTCTCAACCTGTTCCACTACAGCCCCGTAGATGAGAATGGGGGCGTGCTCGGTCCTCTTCTTTTTCCTGTAGTCCACAATCATCTCCTTTGTCTTGATCACGTTTAGGGAGAGGTTGTTGTCCTGGAACCACACGGCCAAGTCTCTGACCTCCTCCCTATAAGCTGTCTCATCGTTATCGGTGATCAGGCCTACCACTGTTGTTTCATCTGCAAACTTAATGATGGTGTTGGAGTCGTGCCTGGCCATGCAGTCATGGGTGAACAGGGAGTACAGGAGGCGACTGAGCACGCACCCCTGAGGAGCCCCTGTGTTTAGGATCAGTGTGGCAGATGTGTTGTTACCTACCCTTACCACCTGGGGGTGGCCCGTCAGGAAGTCCAGGATCCAGTTGTAGAGGGAGGTGTTTAGTCCCAGGGTCCTTAGCTTAGTGATGAGCTTTGTGGGCACTATGGTGTTGAACGCTGAGCTGTAGTCAATGAATAGCATTCTCACATAGGTGTTCCTTTTCTCCAGGTGTGAAAGGGCAGTGTGGAGCGCAATAGAGATGGCATCATCTGTGGATCTGTTTGGGCAGTATGCAAATTGGAGTGGGTCTAGGGTTTCTGGGATAATGGTGTTGATGTGAGCCATGACCAGCTTTTCAAAGCACTTCATGGCTACAGACGTGAGTGCTACGGGTCGGTAGTCATTTAGGCAGGTTGTCTTAGTGTTCATGGGCACAGGGACTATGGTGGTCTGCTTGAAACATGTTGGTATTACAGACTCAGACAGGGAGAGGTTGAAAATGTCAGTGAAGACACTTGCCAGTTGGTCAGCACATGCTCGGAGTACTCGTCCTGGTAATCCGTCTGGCCCTGCGGCCTTGTGAATGTTGACCTGTTTAAAGGTCTTATTCACATCGGCTACGGAGAGCGTGATCACACAGTCGTCCAGAACAGCTGACGCTCTCATGCATGTTTCAGTGTTACTTGCCTCGAAGCGAGCATAGAAGTAATTTAGCTCATCTGGTAGGCTTGTGTCACTGGGCAGCTCGTGGCTGTGCTTCCCTTTGTAGTCTGTAATAGTTTGCAGGCCCTGCCATCTCCGACGAGCGTCAGAGCCGGTGTAGTACGATTCAATCTTAGTCCTTTATTGACTCTTTGCCTGTTTGATGGTTCATCGGAGTGCATAGCGGGATTTCTTATAAGCGTCCGGGTTAGAGTCCCGCTCCTTGAAAGCAGCAGCTCTACCCTTTAGCTCAGTGCGGATGTTGCCTGTAATCCATGGCTTCTGGTTGGGGTATGTATGTACGGTGACTGTGGTGATGATGTCATCGATGCACTTATTGATGAAGCCAGTGACTGATGTGTTGTACTCCTCAATGCCATCGGAAGAATCCCAGAACATATTCCAGTCTGTGATAGCAAAACAGTCCTTTAGCTTAGCATCTGCTTCATCTGACCACTTTTTTATTGACCGAGTCACTGGTGCTTCCTGCTTTAGTTTTTGCTTGTAAGCAGGAATCAGGAGGATAGAGTTATGGTCAGATTTGCCAAATGGAGGGCGAGGGAGAGCTTTGTATGCGTCTGTGTATGGAGTAAAGGTGGTCTAGAGTTTTTTTCCCCTCTGGTTGCACATTTAACATGCTGGTAGAAATGAGGTAAAACGGATTTCAGCTTCCCAGCATTAAAGTCCCCGGCCACTAGGAGCGCCACCTCTGGATGAGCGTTTTCCTGTTTGCTTATGGCCGTATGCAGTTCATTGAGTGCGGTCTTAGTGCCAGCATCGGTTTGTGGTGGTAAATAGACAGCTACGAAAAATATAGATGAAAACTCTCTTGGTAGATAGTGTGGTCTACAGCTTATCATGAGATACTCTACCTCAGGCGAGCAAAACCTCGAGACTTCCTTAGATATTGTGCACCAGCTGTTGTTTACAAATATACATAGACCGCCACCCCTTGTCTTACCGGAGGCTGCTGTTCTATCCTGCTGATACAGCGTATAACCCGCCAGCTGTATGTTATTCATGTCTTCATTCAGCCACTACTCGGTGAAACATAAGATATTACAGTTTTTAATGTCCCGTTGGTAGGATAAACGTGCCTGTAGTTCGTCCACTTTATTATCAAGCGATTGTAAATTGGCCAATAGTATCGATGGCAAAGGCAGATTAGCCACTCGTCGCCGGTTCCTTACCAAGGACCCCGATCTCCTTCCGCGATATCTCCTTTTCTTTCTACTGCGAATGACGGGGATGAGGGCCCTGTCGGGTGTCTGGAGCAAATCCCTCTCGTCCGACTCATTAAATAAAAATTATTCGTCCAGTTCAAGGTGAGTAATCGCTGTTCTGATATCCAGAAGCTCTTTTCGGTCACAAGAGACGATAGCAGCAACATTATGTACAAAATAAGTTACAAACAATGCGATATAAAAACACACGAAATAGCACGGTTGGTTAAGCGTCCATAACAGAGAAGAGCTTCTTCATCACTAAGCTATGCTTAACTCACAATCTCTCTCTTCATGATATAAAAAAACGAAGTTAACATGATGTCTACCGCAACGAGGCATTAGCTGGAAATGTAATTTTATATAATGTTATGTAAAGTAAAAGGACAGCAACTGTATACGAAGTGCAACTTGTATTGTATCAATAATGATTAAGTGATTTAATTAGTGATTCATTGATTATAGCTACTTGAGTTTTGATGATTAAACCTCTCCTTTGTTCTGGTTTTCGCCTCCAGATGTACTTTCTGTTGACTGATTTGTTGGCTAATTGATTGATTGGTTGGCTAATTTATTGATTAATTGGTTGGTTAATTGATTGATTTGCTAATTGATTGATTGGTTGGCTAATTTATTTATTAATGTCTCTCCTTCAGGTGTATGTTCTGCCATGGACTTGATTGATTGATCGCTTGCTTAATGTCTCTCCTTCAGATGTATGTTCTGCCATGGACATAATTGATTAATTTGTTGATTGATTGGTTGGCTAATTTATTGATTGATGTCTCTCCTCTAGATGCACGTTCTGCCATGGACATGGCCACAAGACCTGCCCTACCTGCCAGGGCAACAGAAACCTGATGCACTTCATTCAGCTCACCATCACATGGTACTGAACTGGGCCCGGTTTCCCGATGGAACCTAAGTGTTTTTTTGTGTGTGTTTCTTTGTACTTTTTCTCCCCAGTTTCATGATATCCAATTGGTAGTTACAGTCTTGTCCCATCGCTGCAACTCCCGTACGCACTCGGGAGAGGCGAAGGTCGAGAGCTATGCGTCCCCCCCGAAAACACGACCCTGCCCAAGCCACACTGCTTCTTGACACACTGCTCGCTTAACCCGGGAAGCCAGCCGCACCAATGTGTCGGAGGAAACACAGTACAACTGGCGACCGAGGTCAGTGTGCATGCGCCCAGCCCGCCACAAGGAGTCGCTAGAGCGCGATGGTACAAGGACATCCCGGCCGGCCAAACCCTCCCCTAACCCGGACGACGCTGGGACAACTGTGCACCGCTTCATGGGTCTCCCGGTCGCGGCCGGCTGTGACACAGACTGGGATCGAACCCGGGTCTCTAGTGACACCTCTAGCCTACAAGTGTTTTAACAATGCATTGGTCCTGACACCACGCAGAGAGAAACGCTCACTACTTCGTTGGTGTCGACACTGAAAAGCAGCACTGCTCTCGGATCAGCTTTCTCCATTCAAATCTTACCTTAACATTAGAATTAGTCCACAATGCTGATGACGGATCAGCTCCTAGAGAGATATTACCACCTATGGCTGCAAATAGGCAATTGAGCAGGCATATTATGCCTACCCAATAATAATGCACTAAATCACAGATTTGGCACATCAATCAATCAATCAATCAAATGTATTTATAAAGCCCTTTTTACATCAGCAGATGTCACAAAGTGCTTATACAGAAACCCAGCCTAAAACCCCCAAACAGCAAGCAATGCAGATGCAGAAGCATCATTGCGTACATCATTGCGCACATCTTGTCACACATCATGAAACACATTGAGGCAAAGAAATTACAGGCAGTAGGCCAAGTTGTAAAATATAACTCAATATGATTGAAATAGGCTTGTTGACCCCATGTAGCCCATGTACCGTATATTTTAATGCAGTCATCTCGGTTTTAATTTGAAGCATAATTTTATCCTTCCCCTGTTTGTAACAATTGCAAATACTTTGGCAAACTTTGTATTTGTAATCAACTTCGTTCTGAAGTTATCGTCAGTCACCGTCAGACGGATAGCCTAAACATTGGGATTCTACGGGGAGCTCTTCTGTGAATAAAGTGGAAGGGGAAATTGGCTGCTCTACGAGGGGTCCGGATCACTCGCGGATGTTCAATGGTTTTTAAGAGCCACGTTTCTACCTCGGCTACTAAAGATCCATCGTAAGAAGGTTCTAACGATGGGATCTTAACGCTACAAAGGCTCTGAGAAACTACGCCCAGATCTGTCTGGAGGTCTACTGCAAGAATCTGATCCCACTACATTCAGCTCACCGTCACGTGGTAGTGGACTAGATTGGACTGGATAGCGCTGTTTTAGAGCAGTGATGGGCAACTCCAGTCCTCAGGGGGCCTGATTGGTGACACACTATTGCCTCAGCTGAAACACCTGACTCCAGTAATCAACTAATCATGGTCTCCTGTTTAGAAGAACAATAACTTTAGTTATGACAGACTTGTCAATAAGTCGCTTTAGGCAAGTCCAAGACAAGACTCACTTCCTGTGTACAGAACAGTCATAATGCAAGCTGAACCAACAGTACATGTTATTGTCCTGCTGAACAGTATTTGTGTAACCTGTAGTATTGTGTCAACTCTAAGTCAACAGAAGCAGTGATTCCCCTTGGATATATTATTATTATTTCAGCAGTGGTGACAATGGGTTAGCGCAATGACATGCTAGCTGTTCCCATAGACTTCCAGTCATTGAGCCAACGACTATCCCATTTAAGAGCGTCACAACAGAAATATATAGGAATAAATGATGACTTATTTTTGGCAGCGGTGGCAACAATTTAGGAGCGGTGGGCCACCGCTTGGTAAGTGAATATCAGAGAAACACTGAACAGAAGCATCCTGTTGCTCCTTTATCCTACAGGAAGAACCACGTGTTTGAGTTCGTACCGGACCGGCTGCCTGAGTTCCCTCTCAAGAAGTTTGAGAAGGTGTCTGGGGACGCGTTCTTCGTTGATGAAAGTATTCTGGTGAAGGTCTATTTTATTTTCCCAAGTGGGTGCTGTAAAGACATGTTAACCTGATCCCAGATCTGTATGTGACCGTTCATGATAGAGAGGTTGGCTAGAACCACACCAGGCTACCTAGTCTGTCACTGTGGTGTATGTTACCATGGACACTAACCTTGCCGGGCCCCATTCCCTCAGGTGTACCCCATCGTGGGTTTCCCTGACCAGGAGATCTGTGATGCCTCCAAGAAGGCGTCTCAGGAACACCACAGCAAGTTCTCACCACAGCAAGTTCCCTGTCGCATCCTACAACAGGTGAGTTATCTCTGGGCATATAGCTAGTGTCCTGGTCCAATACTCATTAACCGCATCCTCCCTCCCTCCCTCCATCCCTCCCTCCCTCCCTCCCTCCCCTCCCTCCCTCCCTCCCTCCCTCCCTCCCTCTCCCCTGTCAGTCGTATCCTACAACAGGTATTCTTCTAGTCTTTCAGCCCTGTTAGGGACCTTTCCTAATACTCCTGGATCCTTCCATCCTTTCCTCCCTTCCTGTCCTCTTGTCAGTAGAATCCTGCAACATGAGTCATCCCTGTAAGGGTTCTGTCCCAATACTACTCAACTGCATTCTTTCTTACTTCCTTCCTTCCTTCCTTCCTTCCTTCCTTCATCCTCTTGTCAGTCGCATCCTGCAGCTGGTGACCCTTCTCTGGGGCTTTTCACAATACTGAACTTAACCAAGCCGAGTCGGACCAAGCCGCTACTGAGCTAGCCCGGTTAGTTTTCCAGCATAGTTTCTGGAGTCAGCCCAGTTTTGATTTGGGTCAGGATGATAGTGTGAAAAGGGTATCTCAGCCTGAGGGCCATGTTGTAATACTCCTGAACGGACTCCTTCCCTCCTGCCGTGCCCCACCCTGAGGCCCATAGCGGCCTGTTTCTTTACTTTTCAACTGCATCTTTTTTTAAAATGCGATTGCCTTTAACGGCCACTAGAGGCCAGCACTGACATCAATATAACAGAGCCTCCCTGGATTGAGGAGGTTTGACGACAGCAGGGACTTGATCGCGTGTCTTTTAAATATCTACTCAAATGTTTCTGTTTCTTCACAGCGTCAAACCATTGAGCTGGTACCCATCACTCACGCCTTCTATTCCTACAGTGGAAAAGACTACGACTACTTTGTATACGGTCTCGAGAATAAGGTTTTCACTCCTAAATATCCTTCCGCCTGTGTTATATTATAAAGGAAATATCTCATTTTTATTTTTTTATTTTTTTATTTCACCTACCAATAACCTACCAATAATGCAATGGTAGTCCTGTCCTTTTAATGAATATTTCATAGTCATTATAATATGCTTTACTTATTGTTGTATAATCATTGGATAAGGAACATCTACAGTATGCTAGAAATGTGTAACTACCGTCTTATTGATTGTGCATAGAGGAAAAGTCTATCCTGACATTTTTACGTTTGTAATTATTATTATTTTTACTCAAAAGGGTGCTAGCCATTGTGGAACTCAGTGTGTGTAAAATCAGTGCCTGTTCATTCCAGTCATTCCATTTCCTTCACACAATTAAATTGAAAGTATATGCTATACTATAGCAATGAAATCCAAAGTATATGAAGTTGGATAATGGAATATTTTATTCTGAATTATGTCATGTTTGTATGTAACTCTGACGCCTCTCCAGTTTTGATCATAGCGATGGAACCATAGAAATAGAATGAGAAGCAGAATCATTCTAATTCTGTGGAGAATCTAGTCAATCTGTTTCTATGGTTTGGGATCATCCACTGAAGTCTAAACTCAGAGAGTAAGAGAGGTATTGCCAGTGTGGAGCTTGTGTGTGTTTCTAATTGTAATCAATTAAATGGTTTTATATCAATCTGAATTGTAATACATGCACCTTACAACCTACATGGAGAATAAAAATAATACAACGTTTCTATAACCTGTATTTTTTATAATAAATTAAAAAACGATGATTTTGAATATTTGTATTTTTCATCATTTGGAACTGGAAGGGTGGGATAACTTGCTGAATAAAATTAATTACTTGTCTATGCCCGTTGTTATATTACCCAATCAATACTGTATCATGGTGGGCTCGATACACCTGCACAAACACGCTGTTCCCACCCGGTGTGAGTGAAATGAGCTGGTATTATATCGGCGAGGGGAGTCGGGAAGCGCAGCGCAGGAGGATGGAGTGTTATAGACTATTGGAGGAGTGTCCTTCCCAGCCCAGCATGCGGAGTTTGTTTATAACGTGTGGAGGGGGACAATGTGGAGACTTCTCACATCACTGCGCTTTTTCAAGGCTTGCCGCGGTCCGTTTCTGTCGCTGTATCGGTAGGCTGTCTGCGGTCAATTTGGAGTGGAATAACTCATCTTCAGGATTCACTATCAACAGTAGAGTGTCTGGTGAGTTTGCAGAAAAGTTTACTGTGTGATAACCGTGATAACTTTGTGTTTACTGTGTGATAACTGATAACTTTGCTGTGTTTACTGTGTGATAACTGGATATGTTTGTAGTGTGCTCTGAGGTAGGCTATGAAGATATTGTGGGAAGGTAAATTCTATAAAGTGAGTGGTCTTCGAGATCATTTTTTTGTTTAGTTGATTAATTCTACCATTTTTTTTTTAAACAAGCAGACATAAAACTTGAAAAAACTATTTCTAGATCAATCAGTATTCTACCAAAATTATTTTAGACAAACGTTTGTGGCTCTGTATATAACCATTTCTTTCATATCATATGGACATTCACCTTCCTTGAAAATCCACACAGTCAATAAAGCCTAATCAATTTAGACCATGATCTTCTTTCTGAGCTTAGTTATAGGGCTGACTGAGGTTCAGAATGAAACACATTGTCTAAATTGAGTAATTCATTGACTGGATTTTCAAGGAAGGTCCATCTGAAAATGGTAGAAATAGAACATTCAAGTGTAAAGTTTTATGAATGGTCAAGAGAAGTAAGCCAATAGCCATACAGTGAACCACCCCTAACTATATCCCTGGTCCTGTCTGATATGAGTAACGTTCACTGTAGTGAACCACCCCTAACTATATATCTGGTCCTGTCTGATACAAGTAACGTTCACTGTAGTTAACCACCCCTAACTATATCCCTGGTCCTGTCTGATACGAGTAACGTTCACTGTAGTTAACCACCCCTACCTATATCCCTGGTCCTGTCTGATACAAGTAACGTTCACTGTAGTGAACCACCCCTAACTATATATCTGGTCCTGTCTGATATGAGTAACGTCCACTGTAGTGAACCACCCCTAACTATATATCTGGTCCTGTCTGATATGAGTAACATCCACTTTAGTTAACCACCCCTAACTATATATATACTGTATATCCCTGGTCCTGTCTGATATGAGTAACGTCCACTGTAGTGAACCACCCCTAACTATATCCCTGGTCCTGTCTGATATGAGTAACGTCCACTGTAGTGAACCACCCCTAACTATATATATACTGTATATCCCTGGTCCTGTCTGATACGAGTAACATCCACTGTAGTGAACCACCTCTAACTATATCCCTGGTCCTGTCTGATATGAGTAACGTCCACTGTAGTGAACCACCCCTAACTATATCCCTGGTCCTGTCTGATATGAGTAACGTCCACTGTAGTGAACCACCCAAACTATATATCTACTGTATATCCCTGGTCCTGTCTGATACAAGTAACATCCACTGTAGTGAACCCCCCAACTATATATATACTGTATATCCCTGGTCCTGTCTGATACGAGTAACGTTCACTGTAGTGAACCACCCCTAACTATATCCCTGGTCCTGTCTGATATGAGTAACATCCACTGTAGTGAACCACCCCTAACTATATCCCTGGTCCTGTCTGATATGAGTAACATCCACTTTAGTTAACCACCCCTAACTATATATATACTGTATATCCCTGGTCCTGTCTGATACGAGTAACGTCCACTGTAGTGAACCACCCTTAACTATATCCCTGGTCCTGTCTGATATGACTTTCTTGCTGTGACTCTGTCTCCATTGTGTCTTTCCTGCTGTGAATCTGTCTCCATTGTGTCTTTCCTCCTGTGAATCTGTCTCCATTGTGTCTTCCTCCTGTGACTATGTCTCCATTGTGTCTTTCCTACTATGACTGTCTCCATTTCATGCCATTCTACATCATTTTACATGACTGGAGACTTTGGCAGAATCTTTTTTAATACCGCACACATGATCAAAATGATGGGCTACTTTGACACTGACAAACTGAGAATCAGAGATCAATAAAAACGACCTTGAATCCATTAATAGCCTAGGCCTACGTGTGTGGAGACATACTGTAGGCTACAATATGACGAGGAAATTATGATCCTTAACATGCTTTCCAGTTTCACTGACTCACCCAATGACTCGCAGCTCACTCGCCGGTGATGGTCGATGCGTTCCTGCCAAAAGCCCATATCTCGCGCTTGTTTTACTTTGTAAAACAATATTTGGACGTTTATCAAATATTTTGTTAGCCTGCAGCAGACAGATTAGAGTCTTCTCTTTCCAGCAGGAGCCATTTGGTTTCCAACCCGTATTTGAAATATTGCGAAAGGCCTGTTCTGTCTCGGTGCTGTTCACTGACAGATTTGCGGCGCGTTCTCGACTGTAGGCTATGCGTTGTTTCTGGCTACACACAACCCACAGCTAGGCAATTTTTTTCAGAGAAGCTATTGATCTTCTGTGGCTAAATTATGGGCATTTTCATGGTGTAGTAGGCTATTCTGAATTAGTTCATTTATTTATGAACAGACAGCAGTTATTCTATAACTTTGGCAAATGTATTTCAATTTATCAGGCGTGATGCAGCTGCTGTTTAAAGGTGAAAACGCACCAAAAGATGGGGAAAGATACTTTAACCTGCTTGGAGAGAGAGGGAGAGGGAGCGAGAGACGGAGGGAAATATTAGGGCGAGAAAGAAAGACACAGAGAGAAACAGAGCGAAAGCTGCTTGGAGAGTTTGAGTATGCTGTCGTTGACACGTTAACACTGATTTAGAGAGCTGCCCACTCTCCAATGTAAAGAGCCTGCAAGCCGCGTACTTCGCTCTCTGTGGTACTCACAGTGCGGTGTTCACTGTTCACAGTGCTTATCTTTCTGATGGCCTGCTCCGCTGGTCACTGAGGTGCCTGAGCCACAGGCTAACAAACAATAGCCAACCTAGTATCCTGTATATTTTTCCTCCCATACTCTACCCACATAACGTTTACAACCTTTATGCAAGGCTGTTGATGGCGTCAAAATGAGATTATCATCATATATTATTTTCAGGACTGTCTGTTTGATATAAAGAAACAGATGTTTAAAGTACTGTAAAATGTAATCTCTCCATTAACGCCCTGCCATAAATCAATCAATATATATATATAACTATATAATGCCATGCCATATATCCATCAATATATATAACTATATAACGCACTGACATACAGTACCAGTCAAAAGTTTGGACACACCTACTCATTCAAGGTTTTTTCTTTATTTTTTGTACTATTTTCTACATTGTAGAATAATAGTGAAGACATCAAAACTATGAAATAACACATATGGAGTCATGTAGTAACCAAAAAAGTGTTAAACAAATAAAAACATCTGTTATATTTTAGATTCTTCAAAGTAGCCACCCTTTGCCTTGATGACAGCTTTGCACACTCTTGACATTCTCTCAACCAGCTTCATGAGGTAGTCACCTGGAATGCATTTAAATTAACAGGTGCGCCT